AAAATGTTATTCAAATAACGAGCAACCATAAGCCATGATTTTATAAAGGAAACACTAAGATTATATATATATATATATATATATATATATATATATATATATATATATATATATATATATATATATATATATATATATATATATATTTTCGGAACTTCAATTACCTAAAAAATATATAAATAATTACCATTTTTTTTAAAATACTTAAATATTCTAATAAAATATTACACTGTAAATATTTTAATGTGATTTTTAGAATGTTATAATATTCTATTAGATTTGTCAGATATGTAGAATATTCTAATATTCTATTAGAATATGTAAAAAAATGTATATTTTTTATTTTTTTGGTATTTTTTTTTGGAAAATATAAATTCCAAAAATAATATTTGAAAAAGAAATTTTCAAAAATATTCAGTTATTCTGTATTTTAAAAATATTTTTTTATCTACTAAATGAGTGATTAGAATTGCGTCTCACAATCTCACAAAATTAGACTGTCTTACATAAACCTAACATTATATATATATATATATATATATATATATATATATATATATATATATATATATATATATATATATATATAGTTTGGACAATTAAAAAGTAATTTATTATAAACAGTTAAGACAAGGATTACTTGCATAAAAGATCAATACTTTGATATATATATATATATATAATATTCTTTTTTCGTATGTGCGTGTATATAACATTTATGTTATTTTTTAAAATTAAAGACATAATATTTAGACAATTTTACTTATTAAAAAAAAGGTATATATATATATATATATATATATATATATATATATATATATATAAACTTTTTTTAATAAGTAAAATTGTCTAAATATTATGTCTTTAATTTTAAAAAATAACATAAATGTTATATACACGCACACACGAAAAAAGAATATTATTCTCCTTATGGAATGAGTATTGACATGGAAGCATCCCAAAATTCTTGGAACAAATATATGATTTGATGCCTATCCACTATTTTTTCTTCAAAAGAAATTATAATACAGTATGTTCCTTAAAAATAACAAAATAGAAAATTAGAAGAAGATAGATAAAAATTGTACTTGAACAACTTACAAAAAATAATAATAATAATAATAATAATAAAAGTAAAAAAAATAAAAAAAATTTATATGTGAATTATAACTTAATGATGAATATAGGGTTAATTATATACCTTATATAGACATAACATTTATTAGTTTATTGATAAAATCTAAATTTACTTTTTACAAATTAAACCAAAAAATTTGACATTGGTTTTAGTTTTTTATCCGATTTATAAGTGTTCGTTATTTACAAACGGTCTTTTAAAAAGGATCAAAATATTGTGTTATTTGTGCAAATAACTTTTTATGTTTATTCACATAAAAAGACATAATATTTTATTTTTTAGGACACTATTATTGAATGAAACTTATGAACTTGGTACGAAGGTAAAACCAAAAAAGTATGTCATATCTTTTGTTAAAATTACGAAACAAAAAAAAAAATTATTCGATAAATGATCAATATATTGTGTGTTAAAACAACTCAACATTTTATATATTTTGTTATTTGAAAGGGTAAATTTTAGATAAGCATTTGATAGTTATGGGTATCTGGCTTCGTAAATAATATTAAGACCGGAAAACATTTTTGATTTCGATGTTGCTATCACATGAGCATATTATTTAGTTGTATATTGTGAAGGGATGCGAGTATATACTTCAATCTGAAAGTTGGTATATGTCGGAGAGAATAATCAAGAACCATAGAGACAAAGTTTACGTTTTGTAGGGGTTAACCTTTTTCGAAATCTTTTAATTTGTATTTATAGACAGTGTCAGGTAAACCATATGTTTTCTATTAAAATTGGATTCTAAAAGATAGATATTAACACAAACCAACTCAAAGCCCATTGATACGAGACCGGGGAAATGATTTGGCAACCATATTATCTACTAGGCATATATGCATAAAGATTTTACCAATCAAAATAACATTTAGATAAAAGAAACAGGTATTTTAGATTTTGTAATCTCAAAGACATAGTGATAATGCCTAAATTAGTAATATATTTTGGGTATTTATCTTAATATATTGTTCTACAATATTGTATTTTAAGATAATTGATACTTAATATGTTTAATATTGGATAAATATAGTTCAAACTGGAGTTGGGAAGAAAAAATGGAAAGATTGGATAAAAATGGAGTTTATATGGATCAAATTCGAAGTTACCAATAAATTTCAACTTAGTGCCGCGAAGATTGAAGATGGGACCACGAAAAGGCTTAAAGATTTGAGAATCATTGGGGATAGATAATGCATAGCGCCGCGAAGATTGAAGCGTAGTGGCGCAACCTTTTATTTTCTATAAGTACGAGATTTTGCAATGCAATTCGGTGTGCAGAGAAATACAACTCTCAATTACAAAAAATAAACCCTTTTCTAGAGGACAATATGTTGTGAATATATTCTTTATCGAAGTCTTAGAGTCGAAGTGTCTAAGTAGTGTCTTTTGTCTATATTAAAGGTTACGTACTTTCGATATATCGATGTATTCAAAGAGCAATTATGTTTTGGCACTTAAATGTCGAAGTCTTTTTGTATATTTTGTGTCTGTTAAGGGTACTATAGATAGTATTGTAGCATAGGTTATAGATAGTCTGTGATTGTTCGATTATGCAATCAAGTTTCAATTAATCGGATTTGATTTCTTTTCAATTCAATTTTCTCGTTCTTTTTTATCAAATTGATGACAAACATGAACATGAACACGATAATGAACTACGCAAATCTTCATGGCTCTTCCATGAAAACCTCAATGTTGATTCTAGAGTATTACGTCCAATGGGTTGATCGTATGGAAGATTATCTTACTGTAATTGTTGAATATTTATGGCGTCCAATCAAAGAAGGTTCATATTGTGTTGGTGTGATTGAAGCAGCTGGCTTTGCTGCTTAAACTAAAAGCATGACTATAACACACTTGAAGAAAGAAGCGAATGATAAGAGGTGCATTCGTGAACTAAGAGGAGCATCGCCTCCGTTTGTTTACAACTACATTTGAGGCTGTAAAACAACACAAATCTGAAATACTCTGAAGGAGAAGTTTCAAGGAAATGAATGAACCAAGAAAAGCTCAGTAACTCAATGTCTCTCTGGTTTATCTGAATTTAAGCATAAATAGATGGAGTCAGTTAAAGCCTACTATGATCGATTCAACGATATGATTTACAAATGTTCAAGGTACAATTTTATTCGTTTGGTTCTTGAGTTTACCATTACGTTCATTCAAGGTTTGAGGAAGGAATGGAAAAACATTTTCCGGATTATCAAAACTCAACAGAATTTTGATTCATATTCTCTTTCGAACCTGCATAACATCTTGAAATTGCATGAAGCCGAAGTTAAGGAAATCGCAGATGAAAAGGACAAAACAACTTTTGGTGATCCTTTAGCTCTTGTTTCTAAAACCAATGTTATTGAATCTTGTTATAATACCATCACACAACACATACAAGAGTCATGCATGCATCTAGCATCCCAACATATAAACCATGGGCCGCCATTGGTGCCTTCGACCCGCTAAACCTAGTGAGGAAACTCACATCACACTGTCGAATCTCGTAGAAAGAATCTTTGGCTGTTGTCTCACAAGAATCCATACGCTATCAATCACAAGTTAAACATCCATCAATAATCGGATCTGACCCACATCAAGTGTCCAAACTAGGGTAAAAGACCTTTTTATCCTCTTTATAACTTGGCCCAAAGCCAAGGCCCATTTCAACAATCCAAAAGGCTCAAACATGGCCTAAAACATCTCATGGACAGCCCTAACCAAACTTATTGTCAAAGTCAAAGTCAACAGTCCATGTTGACCAAACATGCTGTGTTGACTTGCAAATACGTCATGTTTCGCCATCATCCAAATGGCTGGAAAACCTCAGCCAACACACTTTATTGGTTTGCAAACATGTTGTTTTGCCTGAGTTCCAACATCTTAACTCATTAAGCTGCCTTCTTCGACTCTAAGAGCTCCAAAGATCAAATCTAGACCAAAACGAGGTTTAGAAGGGTAAAGTTTCCAACTTTACCCATGAGGTCTACCAAAAAGGGTCCAAAACCCAAACCCTAATGCTTAATAGCACAAGGTTTAACCAATAAGCACTTAACTCTTACAAACATAGCCCTAAAACATAGATCTGACCTCCTTGAGCTGGAAAACCACGTAAAGTTACCAACTTTACGTTCATGCATGTTTAAATAAAGCTCTTAAGCTTAAAAGAGACTTAATAAGTGACTTAATGCATGCATGTAACCAATTTTTTTCATAAAGCTTGCACCTTTATGCTCAAGGAGTCCAATACAACTCAGATCTGGAATAACAAACCCATAAAACGACTTCACCCACTCAACAACCCAAAAAGGGGCCAAAAGCATAAAAAAGCACAATATAAAGAGATCTAAGAATCTATAATTCAAGTTCCAAACTTGATACCTTAGAAAGTTTGCACAAAAGAAGATAATTCTAGATCCAAAGCCATTCCACCAAGCAAGCCAACTTCAAGATCTCCTCTTCCTTCACAAGGACCAAAAATGAGCACCAAAAGCTTCTCACTAGCTCAAGAACACCACCAAGAGATTTAAATATCGTTTTAGGGTGTTAATGGTAATGAAGGCCGGTAAGGAGTCCCACCATGAGGACTTAAGGCCTTTATATAGGGTGCAACACCCTGAAAATTAGGGTTTTCTCCACCAGCCGCCAACATGTCGTGTTGGCATAAACACGCCTTGTTGGAATTAATGAAAGTCGTGTTTCTTCAAATCTAGAAACATCATGTTGGTTCCTCCAACACGCCGTATCCAACCCTAAAAAGGGGATTTATTCCCTACAATCGTTCCTCAAGGTTCCGGGTGTTACAATGATCTTGTAGTCTTTGAATGATTCTTTTGCTAATAATTCTTCGACAATTAGCAAAGCAGAAATGGGTTCTTCGTTACAATCTCAAGATACGAAGATCAAGGGAATGGTCAAGCAAGTTGTTACTGATGTTCATTATAGACTTGAGCAAAACATGAAGTCATTTAAGTTTGATGTCTTAGAGTTTCAAACAGTTGCAATAGAGAGGTATACACTGAATGAGAAGAGTCTGTCAGATGTCAAGGCATCAACTGAACTTAAAGTTCAAAAAATTCATGATCTCATTACCTCAAAAGTGAAGAAGATTTATGGTTTGTTTTTAGGTGTTCAAAAGAATGTTGATTTTTTTGTATAAGCTACCAGAACGTTAGTTGAAGATATTCGAGATTTTAATGTTGATTATAAAACTAAACTGGAGAAGAATGTTGATAAAGATGGAGAAGTGTTTAAAGATATTGAGACTTCTCTTAATACTTTTCAAGAACACATCTCCAAGCTTACAGCCAACTCGACATCTTTGATGTTTGATGCGAATAATGCCAAGGATGTATTAGAAGCTTGTTTTAAATCCCATATTGCACCAATTCTTGATTTGGTATTTCGACTTCCCACAAATTCTCCACGTGCAATGCAAGTGTCACAAGCAGGAGAAAGGGGTGGGTCGTCGAAAATGGGAGGCGAAGATAAAGGGAAAGTTGTTGGGAAGGTATTCTCTCATCATATTCAAACTCTAATTCTTGCTAAACTAGTTTGTATGATGGCAACAATTGTCGCCCCAAATGTCAAAGTTGATATGACCAAGCTTCAGTAAAGGAAAAGCTTAACTATCAATGAAGGTGTATCTTCAACATTAAATATAATTATTTGAGCAAGTAAAGAAAAAGGCAAGGGTATTTAGCCAACCAATGAGGAGAAGAATAGAATGAATGTACATGAAATAGAGAAACTAAAGCAGTTGAACAGTTTCCTTAGACAGAAGGAAAATGATCCTCCTAGGATAAACAACGGTGAAGTGAACAAGACTTAGAACTATGAAATGATTGATACAGTGATGTTTGGAGAAGATCATGCATTCAAAAAGATGCAAAAACAAAGCTTCATTATTGAGAACACACCACTACAATAGTTGGATTTTCCAGTTAATCATTCAATGTTTACTTTTGCACAATTCAAGTTTTCTGATAATTTCCATGAAGATGAAGCCTCCAAGTATGTTAAAATGAGATTTCATGTAGTGCTTGAGAAGAGGGAAAAGGAAATCTAGTCTTTGAAGAAGATAGTGAAGTTGGTATCCATATCGAAGGATGAGATGTTTGAGAATCTCCTTAAAAATTATCGATACAAAGTTATCTGAGTAGATCATAGTATGTATGAGTTCACCATTTATAATTTTCCCTTGATGAATCTAAATTATTTAATCATATTATCATATCTTATTAAAACTCTAGATGATAAGCAAGTGACTGATAATAATAGAGCCTATATTATTGGGTATGCCTTTATCAAGAATTTCATTGATTGCTACCTTACTCACCTTGGGCTTACTGACTTCAAGATTTCTAATGCCTATAACAAGCCTAGGAGAATCCGAATTCTACAATAGATGGTGTTCATATTGAATAGTATGTGGATGGGGAGACAATCTTAAAGCCTTTGGGTGTTGTCTTTCAAGGGAAGAATGTAAAGGGAAAGAAAAAGAAGCACTTCTTTTATACAAATTTGAAGGATATGTATTCTACGAAAATTTTGACAAACCTTTTGCCTAGAATCACAAAGTGCAATAAGAATAGTGATGGTTATAAGAAGGAAATAAGGAAGTTATTCTTTTGGTACTTGGAGATAAGGAAGATGCTGATGGAAGTTGTGAAGGCACTACTAGATATTTGAATACTTGAATACTATTTTCAAGGTGAAGAATGTAGAAGACAATATGTTGTGAAGATATTCTTTATCGAATTCTTAGAGTCGACGTGTCGAAGTAGTGTCTGTTGTCTATATCTAAGGTTATCCACCTTCGATATATCTATGTATTTCAAAGGGAAATTATGTTTTAGCACTTAAATGTCAAATTATCTTTGTATATTTTGTGTCTATTAAGGGTACTATAAATAGTATTTTAGCATAGGTTATAGGTATCGCACTTTCATAGAACTTACTCATTGTACTCAGTAACTTTTCTACATTCCAAACAATCAAGAGAGAAACCAGATTTACTTATCTATCATGTTTATTTACTTTACGAAATCATAACTTGATTGAATTCTTGAATCTTCACCTTTGAATCATATTCAAGGTTGAAGAACAGGAAGAAGCCATACGTGTGAAGATTAAAGCAGAGAAATTGAAGAAATCGTTTGGTTTGCTTTATAAATCATGTTAAGCATTAGTATCATTCGATTGTATTTTGTTTTTATGTAGAGATGATGGGCTAAAACCCTCTTTTTTGTTTAGATGTAAATGGACCTACTTTCTATGGTGTGAATTATTGATTTGAGTTTATAAATTCGGTTATTTAATATTTATGGATCAATTATTTTACCCTCATTTGTTAAAGTTTCAATTTTTATTGCTTGCATATTAGTTTTATAGGATTTAGACTATCAATTTGGTTATATTGACTTGTATCTTAATTTTTTTATAATAATAAACTGTTACAGCGAATGATTAAACAAATCATAATATTAGGTAACATTAATCATTAACTTGAAGCAATTAAGTGAGCATTAGTTCACCAAACTCTTCTTGGTTTAATTCTTATGAACATTAAGATTAGCCATTAGATTGAATCATTAATAATTTGATCATTAGTACCAATTAATCTGATCAAGATTATTAACGATCTTACAGGTCAGTAATCACTTTATTAAATCCATTGCACTTTCAATAATTTATCCACAAGAAAGAAGGGTATACGAAACCTAAACATAAGTGCTTCCATATTATTTTCTTATTCAAGTTTTTAGCTTTGTTTAGTTGTCTTAATTGATAATTTTAAAATGAAAAGAAGCCCCCCTTTATTTATTTTTTGAAGTTAATTTAAATATGAATCAAATCATACGTGTTTCTCGAGAGTTTAACTCCGTCATTTACCCTATCTATATTGCTATACGATCAGGTTCATTTCCTTTTAGCATGCTAATGTGGAGTTGAGTTAATTGAGGCTTTATAAAATTAAAACATGATATTATATATATATATATATATATATATATATATATATATATATATATATATATATATATATATATATATATACGTCAAAGTTTTTGGTGTTGTTGCTAGGGAATGATTTTATCTCTTTAGATTTAATTAGCAAATTGTAATTCAGTAAGTAGGTTGTTAATTTCTGTTTTGTTTAGTTTAGATTTTATGAAACATTCGATTTCATTCCATGATTATTCCTAGGTCGCAACACGAACATTGTTGTTTTAGAAGGAGGATTGTAACCTAAACAGAAGTACTTCCAAATTATTGTGTTATTTAAGCTTTTAGCTTTGTTTGATTGTATTAATTGATAACTTTAAAATAACAGAAAAACCCATTTATTTTCTTTTTTAAAGTTAGTTTAAATCTGAATCAAATCACACATGTTCCCTGAGAGTTCGGCACCTTTATTTATACGATTAAGTTCACTTCTTATTAGTGTGTTACGGTGTAGTTGAGTTAACTGGTGGATATATTTAAAACTTGAGATTATATATATATATATATATATATATATATATATATATATATATATATATATATATATATATATATATATATATATATATATATATAGACACATTTAAACAGATCCAATTAGAACAATTAAATGATCCTTCATGCAACCACAAGGTGTTAATATTACTACCTGAAAAATGGAGACTTAATTATCAAATGTAGATGATCTCAGTGTTGATATACACTATTTAGAAATAGTAGTTCCTAGAATTTCAAATTATACACAAACCTTTTCCTCCTTTTCTTGAAGTCGACGATGGTAGAGGGACAAGGAGAGTGTATGGTGGCTAAGGATGCTCTTGGGAGCAATCATAGGATTTTCACCACTTTTCTTGTTTTTTAGTGACTATTAAAATGCTATTTTATTTATGAAAAATTAGCCTTTATTTAAAATTCATCATTACTGACAAATAAAATCCCAAAACTTGTTTTTTTGATTTCTCTAACTATTTTATAGTTAGTAAATAATAACAATTTATAGACTACACATAATTTTTTATAGATGTGCTCTCTTAGTGCTCTTAAGTGTGACCCATATACTCTCATAAGAAAAAAAACATAACTATTCTTTTTTCCTTGCATATTAATTCCAAAAGGCTCCCACTTGTACAAAGAACAACAAAATTCGAATGCATAGACAATGGTAATATCCTGCAACACATCATTCCTTTGGACATATGTGAAACTTTGTCTTCCACACAACATCTAGTAAATATTTAGAGGACAACGATTCTTATTTAATTTCCCTTATTTCTGATACCCATGGAAATCTACTTATTAATTGTAACTTAACGTCATCAATACACGGTTTCCTTATTATGAGAATGAATAATGTCAATCAGTTTGGGTGTGGCCACAGTCTTAGACTTATTCACTTATCAATAGGCCCAATTGATACCAAACTATAACAATTTGGAGGAACGAATCTCATATTGCACTATATGTGTTCCTCTAAAGTTTATTTCATATATCAGTGTTGTAGCTTCTATAACTATCATGTTTCATAAAAAGTTTGAAAAATATCAAGTTACTACACTATGCCTATTCTGAATCCTACAAATACATCATGTCAAATGTAACACTCATTCTCTAAAATTTACAATGATAAAAGAGAAGTTGTCACACCCCCGATCGAGGCTACGAAACATGGCAGACTGTGCAACTTAGTTCATGGATCACATGTAAACTGAATATGTAGCACAAGTACAACAATAAACAAAACATCATTTGTATTCCATCTTGATGTTTGAATACAAGGTTCTTACAGATAATAAGTATATGAATTGCCTTGAACAGGTAGGTAGACATAAAAAACTAGTAAACTATATTTCCTTAAATCCATGATCATTCTGTCATGTGAAATGCTTGATTACTGATTTCCTGAGAAGACATGTAGTTTTGAGGGTCAACACAAGGTTGGTGAGAGTTACAGGTTTTCTGCTAACAGCAGTAATGATACTTTTAAAAATGTTTTAAAAACTATTTTCTTTGTAAGTAAAACCATACTTAAAACATTGTTTATAAAGAGTCTTTGAATAAACTATTAAAATCAAGAGGTGTCTTTGCATAAGTAAATCCATACTTCAAAAACCGTTTGAGAGAAACCAAGTCCATGGTTTGTAGTGGGAGAGAGAGAGAGAGAGAGAGAGAGAGAGAGAGAGATTCTAGTTAATGTTTATAGTGAGTCCTATAACTGAGCTATGTGACTGAATGTATCCCCTACAACGTTTCATTATACGTTGTAGTAACGATTGTAGATACTTATCACCTGCTTCGATTGATCGGTCGAGGTTGTAGCTAGCAACTGTAGGTGGGGATGTCAACCACATATAGATCTATCGATATGTATCTCGCTGCGAGTAGTGCCGATTATAGTAGTGTAGGTATGCTAAGTGTTTTGACTTATTTAATAAATAGTGTCTCACTATAAAGCCCTTAACTAGGTATGTTAATATCTCTCATCCCTAAATTATATGTGGATAAGTTACTAGGCATAATGATTTTTTTAAAGTTTATAAAAGCCAAGTATGTTTGGTCTATACTAAAAAGTGTAATGTACTCGATTTTATAAAGAGGTACGTTTCAAAGCAGTGATCATAAGTACATGTATATGTTCTAAGTTATAATCTTTATATATATATATATATATATATATATATATATATATATATATGAAAGACAAAACAAGAAATTTAATCTGGAATGTCGATTCTATCCCAATTTTAAAAAAAAAATATAGAAAAATCATCGGGAGTCGTAATTAGTATTTGTAAACTCTCTAGACTTAGAAATTAAGTCTACTTTGTCCCTAATTGTTTCCTTGACCTGATATGAAACCTAACTAAGGTGTAAATGACCGTTTTTACAGTCTAGTTCGAAAAAGGACTGTAATGATATGCTATTTTTCAAAAGTCGTAATAAATTGTATGAACATTGTATGAACTTGTGGAAGTAGTCCTTGAAAATGTTTCAATACTAACTACTTGCATAAAAAACCATTTTACAAACCATAGGGTTTAAGATGGGCAAAATAGGTCTTGAATAGACCACAATTTTTTACATAAAATCATAGCATTTTGTAGTATGTTTTCAAGAGTTTTTTTGCATAAACGAAATATATGAGCACATGTATCCCTCCCCCCCCCCCCATCCTAAGTTTATAAAACCTATAATAGGACAAAAACACTTATCTTAGATACATGAATTCGGTTTAGACTTGATAATGTGATCATGTTCGGGAAGCACCGCGAAATGGCCCAAACTAGCAATGTATTTTGATGCGGTTGTTTGGACTTAATACACATGAAACAAACAATAAAAAGTAGAGACTTGGTCTTGGATTTTTCAAAAAAAATGGCAGTACGAGGTGGCAACCAAGTGGTGGTGGTTGCTCGGCAAAACAAGGGGCAAAAGGGGTGGAGTAGTAGTGGTTCTCGATGCTTGAAGGCACCTCCGGTGGGGGTTTTTGGACTGAGAAAAAGAAAGCAATGGAGAGGGAGTAAAGGAGACTATTGGATGATGAGTTTATGAGAAATGAAGGAGGAAGTGGCCTCTATTTATAGTGCACGAAGTCTCTCAAGGCCATGTAATGCCCATGCTTCAAAAGCTAGTCCAACAAACAGACACAACCATGATTGTACTTATGGAAAGTGTGTACTCCAAGAGGCATGGTAAAAGAGGAGAGGGGATGGGTAGGGATGTGATAAGGGGGTGGAGTTCCCATGGATGATTTTGATTACCACTTGCAAGGATAGTGGGCCATGGTGATGTCACACAAAGCAAAAGGTCCCAAAAATGCTTCTAGATTTGCATGGAAAAATCCCAATACCTAATATTTTTTCAAAAGTGTCGTATGATAAAGTAGAGTTCAAGGATTCCAAAAACTCAAATGGTTTAAGTTTTTGAGTTTTAGAACTCCGGAAAATCGCTTTAAAGATTCACATCAAATGACCCGAAACGTCCGATTTTCGACTTTTACAAATATTTTTACTAAAAATATTTCAAGTATGGAATTAAATATTAGACTATAGTATGAGTCCAAAAATCTCTCAGAATTTCCATCTGAGGTGTGAAAGTGCCTGAACGGATAGAAATGGTGTTAGCAGTTTTAAGAAAATTAGTATTATACTAGTTGGTTTCTTATAACAATCGTATCTTTTTCATACGAACTCCATTTTGGAAGTTCTTTATATTTTTGGAAATAGGTGAGGATGTACTATAAGACTAGAGTGTTTTCTTTGCTCATAATTGATTAATACAAAATTTCAGTTTTTCATATGTATTAACTAGGGTTGTAATTTGAGCTGTTTGATTCGTTTGAGATTTCAACAATTGGAAGTAAGATACCATCTTGTATCTTATAATAGTTGTAATGACACTATATATATTTAAAATATTCATTAAAGCTGAGTAGGTCAAATTACAAAGAGGTTCGCGGTGAACTGATTGACTACAATTTTAGACCTAAATTCTGGGATGTCACATTACCTCCCCATTAAAGGAATTTTGGTTCCGAAATTATTAAGTTCTAGATTATTTTGTTCCACTAGTGGGGTGAGCACTGCTGAACAGTTATGGATACTTTTGTTGAATCTGATCCTCACGTTCCCAAATAAACTATAACCCTTTACGAGAGTTGCATCGGACTTTTACTATAGGTATGCGACTTTGTTTAAGGCTTTTGATTTTTTAATCCTTGATCTCCACCAGTTCCTACATGAAGTAATTTTAGTGTTGACATGGATCTCATCGAGAGGAATGACAAGGTTCTCATCCGAGAGACACTTCTTAAGAATACACGCGTGGAAGGTAGCGTGAACTTTGTTGAGTTCTTGAGCTAACTTGAGTTTGTAAGTCACTGTACCAACCCTTGCCATGATTTCCAATGGTATGATGTATCGGGGATTTAGTTTACCTCATTTTCCGAATTAATGACACATTTCCATGGTGTGACCTTTAGTAGCACACAGTCTCCTACTTTGAAGTCCAAGGGTTTGCTTCTCACGTCATCATAGCTTTTCTGATGACTACGTGCGGTCTTCAGTATTTCCTTTATCTGAACAATATTTTTCATTGTTTCATGAATGATCTCAGGACCGGTGAGTAGAATATCTCCAATATGCTTTTTAGCTAGTTGAGTATCCCCAACTTCTACCCAACATATCAGAGAACAACATTTGCGTCCGTACAAGGCCTCAAATGGAGCAACCTTTATAGTAGTGTGATAACTATTATTGTATGAAAAATCAACTAATGGAAAGTGGGTATCCCATGAATTAACAAAGTCTATGACGCATGCATACAACATGTCTTCCAGAGTTTGTATCACTCTTTTACTTTGTCCATCAGTTTGAGGATGGTATGCAATACTCATGTCAAGTTTGGTTCTTAGGAGCTTCTATAATGATTGTCGAAGACTAGAAGTGAATCTGCTATCTCGATCTAAGATAATATATATTGGCACACCATGTAGTCTGACTATTTCCTTGAGATAGGTCATGGGGAGTTTCTTCATCTTGTCAGTTTCTTTTACGGCTAGGAAATGTGCGGACTTGGTCAGACGGTCAACCCTACCCAAATGTTGCCATGTTTAAGTCCTTGAATTCGAATCTATCAAAGTATCAATACAATCGTTTGATTTAACGTGGAATATTAATCAAATAACGATACGAAACAATTAATTAGATATATCAAGAACACGTTTCAATAACATGAATGTACACAATTCTATTGAATAACTATCAAGTACACTCAATCACACTTCAGCCATGAATCACTAGTATTCACCAAAAATGCATTCACCTTGAACGGCTATACACAGACCATATAGATACTTAACCCATAACCTAAAGCCCATTCATAATAAGCCCACCGAGGACACACTAAGCCCACCGAAATTACTAGGTGATTTTGATCCAAAACCTAGAACAACATAATACATTCAAAACAAAGCATAAACCACTAAATATAGGCCAATAATCTCGCCCTTGGTTTATTGCTTTATGTTCTCTTCATGGTTTCTCTACAAGATGTACATCTGCTTGGTCAAAATCCCCTGCCCACAACTTCTTGTTGATAATTATAGCTACCATTCCAGTGAAAACTTTCGCGGCAACTTCAAATAGTTCATTCTTTATGATAATCTGAAAGTTTGATAAAGTGTGGATATCACATTCTCCATACTTCAACAAATCTTTGGGATCAACAATACAAAACTGGTTTTTCTTCAGCTTGATCACCACCGTTGCAGTAGCCTCATCATAAACCTAGAATTGTATTGTATCCAAAGAGCCTTCAGGTAAGCGCTTGGGAAGAGGAATCCTTTTGGCTTGCTTTATGGGTGGACACATTACATTCACCATTGTTTTGTTTATGTGTAGATCAATGACTCCCTTGGCCTTCTTAGTAAACGATGAAGCAGTCTTTAAGTTTTAAAAGTTATTTTTTGCCATAATCTCTAGAAAAATTTTAAAGTACCATGCCATGGTATCATTGGTTGGATTTTGGAAAGGTGCGTGGATGAGTTCTGAAAGATCAAATTTTTTAAGGACATGAAGTCGACTTTCTTATCATAATATTCAATTATTCCACTTTTTTGCTTCATGATCCACGTCTTCTTTTCAACATCGTATCCCCACATGATGATGCCAGAACGATCACCATATTTGTCTGTGAACTTCTTCCTAGTTTCCCTAAAGAACATTTCTGGGTGATCACCCGGAACATTTTTATCTGAATTCTTCATCAAGAGCATTTTCCCTTTCAGTTGCTCAACCCTAATTTGTTTCTCTCATCTTTCTTGAGCAGAAAGAGAACTAGAAGATAATTATTTATCAAGGTTAGCATCTGGAGCAGGTCTTGCAGCTCTTTCACTTGAAGATTGTGAAGTTGGATTAGCGGGACCTGAACTAGAAGCAGTGATCTTTCTCTTTCAGCGCTCAAGGGTTGAAATTCATCACCAAACTTCTGAAATAGGCACTATTTCATATCAAAGAACAAAGCAATTAAACCACCAAGATTCGCTTGAAGCTTTGAGATTTTTGAATCTTTATCGGAGTTCTCTTTCTCAAGCTCGCTGATTCGAATGTCCTGCTTTCCAATTACCAATTCTTTTTTCAGCGGAGTTTTGTTCCAAATCGAAGACTCTGTTTTGAAGCTGAACGACATCAATAAATTCATATTTAGGCAAATTTATTTTGCCTTTGGATATGTCCAGCTCGGGTGTTTCAAATGAGCTTCCTGAAGCTTGAGCTCCTTGTGAAGGTATGACTTCTTCTTCAACAATTAGGCTTTGAAAATCCTGATCCATAGGAATGAGCTCAAGGAACAGGCTTGGTATTTCTTGAATCATTGGAGAGGTCTCAGTGAATGTGATTTCTATGTTTTGAGCCATAGAACCAGGCTCAATCGATGTATTACTTTTGAACTGGGCTTGTGATAAACACTCCCGGCCTTGGATCTCTTCTTTTTCGCTTCTTTGGGAGTAAAGCGTAGGATAAGTCTTCTGGATCACTTTCAGATAGAGGTTCAGCAGCGACAAAAACTGTTTGGGGAGGCTTCCTTGCAGTTCACTGAAATTCTTCTATAAGAACATCCATTTGTTCAAGTGTTGATATGGAAGATTACACTGTTGTGTCACTTTCGTTTTCAGTCACAACCAAAGGTTGACAGCTACATCCTTCTCTGGGTTTGAGATACTTTGCTAAATAAAGTCTTCAAACTCTTTTTCTGTCAAATCATTTTCTTGATCCTCTTGATCTTCTTCATCATTAGATAATTCAATCTCATCAATGGCGAATTGAAACTTTGGTTTGGGCGCCATGTGTTCCTCAACAACCTCAACATTTATTGAACCAACAGCAGGAGTGTCTTCAATCTCAGCAAACCTTACAACTTTAAATAACTCCTTTAATCCTTGACAAGCAACTTTGGCAGACTTTCTCGATTGCTTCATGAGTCCAAAAGTGTTGGGACCCAAAGCTTTCATATCCAATGTATCGGGCGTCCTTTCGATTTAGGGATATTTTTCATTAAAAATCATTTAAAGGAACCTGGGTTACATAAAAAATAGGTCCTTTTTCTTTCCCAAGAGGTTGCTCTTCATTTATTCGAAGACGAACTTTGAGAAGTTGTAATCCCAGTCCATAGCTAGAGCAACAATGGAAGAGGTCACAATCTTACTGATTTCATCAGAGCCTCCCTTTCTTCCATAAATGAAACTCACGAAGGAGTGTACCAGGAACCTCCAGTAGGGTGGCAGTAGCTTCTTGATAGTGGAAGCATAGTTTCCTTCATAACACATTTTCTCCATAACTTCCTTGACACGATCAACAGAGTACTCAATTGGGAATGCGAATGCATCACCAATTTGTGAACCTCTCGGATAATTTGTTCATAAATAATCACTTATGTTCCTTTCACAATAGATTCCACTGTACTAGCTCCATTTGATCCTTGATTGTTGATCGAAGCATTTTTCCATAAACTATTGATCAGGTCTTTGTGAATGACTGGATTGGCATGAAGGGCTTGAGAGATCCTATAGTTGTTCAAACCCACCATCATGGATTTGAATTCTTGATGAGCAGCAGGAGGATCCATGAGATATCCATCAATGTTGTCAGAGTCTACGAATTTAAGTTCCTCTGCCATTTATCGGCACCAAACTAGCCTAGTGAGAACTAATTTAAAATTAATTAAATTGAGTCTGAAATCCGATATGGGTCAAAATCAAGGTCAAAGTCAAATTTTCAGTTGGTTTCGGTCAAAGATGATTAATTTCTGTCAAAGATGATCGATTGCGGTCGAAATCACTTGTTGACCTGACGATTTTGGTCAACGCTGGTTGATTTCGGCCAAGAACCCAGATTTCGGTCATATTGGGTCGGATCTTCATCGGATCTTCATCGGATCTCAGTCGAATCCGGGTTGGAATGAAAACACGAAATCTCATCGGAAATGGTTCCAACGCAGCTCGTCGGAAACCCTATTAAAATCCATTCAAAAAACCAGCAAATCTGTGAAACCAAGTATGTCAAAAACAACTTAAATACCATTGCCATGATCGAAAACCAAAAAGCTACCCGATTCACCGAACAATTGCAACAGAAACAACGAATGGGTAGATTTTAGCAGAAAAACTCGGAGATATTAGGATAGAAAACAACGACCGTTGTTTGGAGGATTTTTCGGAGAGAAAATCTAACTAGCCGAAAACTATATATATATATATATATATATATATATATATATATATATATATATATATATATATATATATATATAACCGAGAAATCGGCCCAAATGGCCCACCAAAATGATTTCGGCCCAAAAAAACCTTGTTTTTAATAAAAAGATTTCTTTCGATTTTACGTTTCAAAAACCAAATACAAAAATAAAAATAAAATTAAACATTCATTTTTTTGTGGAATAATTTCTCCCCCTAAATTTATACATAATAGTGAAAATATGTACAAATTTAAAATGTAATAAACAGATTCTAATAAAATAAAAACTTTTGGGATCAAACGTTGTGAAGCAAATTAATGAGGTTTATCAGCACACACGTTCATGAAAAAATCTGGTGAATCATTGATATTGTGATCCACTTAAGCACAAAGGACATTTTTCAGGATAGATCATGAGTAACGATATATAGCTACTATATTCCTAGATAGACCATTTTGTCTGATGACGACCAAGGATATTGTTGTCCACTTAAATTTAGCCAAGAAAATCTACCAGTCAACCTTTAGTTATGGGTACAATTAATGTTAGTATACGGGAACATGTTCCCCACTTCATGGCATACCCCGATAATCAAGGATATTTCTTCAAAATCCTTTACTTTAGGTGAGTAAATAATCATTGTGGAATGCATATGTAGTGTCCCAAGTCGAATCTACCGATCACGCAGAGGGGACAACATATGACTAACATAGAGAGTAGGATATATGTAGGAGACAATATACTAACTTAAAAGCAGTGAACATCATATAAGTGCATATGTTGTGTCCTTGGTCGGATCTTCCGATCACGCAGAGGGGAGAACATATGGTTGACTAAGAAAGAAAGAATAACGATTTTAAACAGACGCAATTTAACAGAACCCCTTAGTCACCCCCTGTCAATACAAGAATTAAGGACACAAGTCCATACGCCAATGAAGTGTTGCGCCACATATCTAGATGATAGTTAGCTTCAATTTATGTCATAGGCCTCCTTATCTATTTTACTGTTAAATCTATCCAAGCACCACATTGTCAGTCCAAATGAGGTTTTCTAAGTCCAAATGAGTCCACATTGTCTAGTCCATTAGTCTTAGTCCTTTATGCTTACCAACACATTAAACACATAGTTTAGACAATTCAGCTTTAGTGCATTAGACGTATTTCGTTTTCCCATTATCACTAACTCACATCACTTCCCAAAAGATTGTCACAAATTTCTTTTTCTAAACGTAAGACAAAATGAAAGAAAATAAGAAATAATAAATAAAACTGAAAAGAAATTTCATTTTTCGAAACATATCATCTTAAGAAATCTTACAAGCACGAGCTTGGTTTTAGAAAAAAAAATAGGTTTTTTTGGACGACTGAAAATCAGCATTATCATCACAGAAAATAGAGGAGTCTAAAAATTCAAACCGCAATTTAGCAATTGATGTAATCCCCATTTATGATCTTTCCTTTTCCTTTCCCGCAAAGGGCACACACTCTCCATTAAAATTCTGAATGTCATGCAGATGAGAGATGTCTCCTATCATGTGCTTGCAACAACCACTATCAACATACCGAAGTCTGCAGATATTCCTCCATAGCTGCTCTGGCACAGAGTGTGGGATTAATTGGTTTTAGGAACCCAGTCCATTTTGAATCTGGGTTGACCTTTGTCATCTACGCGTGATACGCGTTCCCAAGCCATATCTTATTTATCAAACACAAAAAATGAAGAGATGTTAGAATTTTTAGGTGATTTCAGAGTGGGAACTTTTGGTACCCATCTGTAGTCAGGTTTAACCATTTTCTTATTTAATCGGATGGATGCTTCAGCACTTATTTTAGAGCTTGAGACTGATCGTTGAGATGACTTCGACCTTACCAATCTTCGATTGACTGAACTATTTCTCAAATCAGATCTCTTCTCAGACATAACCTTTTTGTTCTTGAGAGTCTGAATTTTGGTATTGGCAGTATTCTAGTCACCATCACGTGATCTCGAGGAGTTTCTCTTGAAATATTCCTCGAGATACGTTCTGCCTTCTCATAACTAGGAAATTTTGGAACCAACAAGGTCTAAACCCTAACCAAGCATAAGTGAATTCACAACATAACTTGATGCAATGGAACTTTGAAAACCAAGAGAGCATGCATATACAAGTTCATATGTATATACACTTGTGATAGCCAAGTTGTAATGAACCTTTGAAAGGCAAATGAAGTCAACAAGCCATCAAGGACTCAAAGGAGTCAACACAAGTCCAAGTAGTAAATTTGTATGCATATTACTTAAAGATTGCGGTTTTTAGAATGTTGGAACACTATAGAAGCGAAATCAACATCTTAGGAACACTATTGAACCGAAAACTACTTCATGGACTCACATAGGACCAAAAACTCAATGTCTAAAGCCCATTAGGGTCGAAGACTCAACCTTTTGGGACCGAAATCCCTTCTCGAAGGTCTATTAGGACCGAAATCACACTTTCGTAAGTGATTTAGGATGATTTCGGTCATGTTGGGCAGCAAACACTTTCCTTTGGCTGAAAACACTCTTAAATATCTAAATATTTTGCCAATTTAGCTTCCCAATGTGATAATTCCAATAACCAACAAAACATCAACTCAACCTCTTATCCCTTCCTTCCCATATAAGTCACACTTAGGATCATTTCTCATTTTAACATCTCTAGTAAAACATTCACTCCATATTTACTCTCAAGCATATTCCCTTTAAATTCAAGCTCCAGGAGACCTTCTCTTCCTATTATTGATTAGTATTGGTAAACATTCTTCATTTGTCTAGTATTTATAAAATGATTTTTCATTCCTAGTTCCATATAATTCACACATTAATATGTGTTTAAACTATTAGGATACGGCTACTGTTACGCACTCTAAATCGAAGTTCATCGTTTTATATCGTTATCTAACCACGATCGCACATAAGGTGAGTTCATAACCCCACATTTTTTTAGGATTTTCTATATTTTAAGGGGGGGGGGGTGTGGGGGGTAGAAGTAAAACACAAGAAATATTGTGTTTAAAAATATAAATCATTTATTACGTTCTCTTATACTTTATAAACACTTTACATAAAAATGTTAAATAGCGTTACTACTAAACTTATAACTCTTAAAGTTACTTTTTCATTTCAACAGAACATATATTTTTAAAACTATAATAGATATAGTTTTGGGACGTTTTACAATATTTATCATCATAAACAATTTCTATGGGAAAGTTACTTTTTCAGTTATAAGAAAAATGGTCATTCATTTCATTATAAATATACTATTTAATATAGGATTGTGAACCACTTGCTTCATTGTACCAATCAAGGTACCCATTAATATCCTGAATTATAACCAGAGTCTCCTAGAGGGAGAGCGTGAGTTTGTGTATAGATCTATATGGGACTGAAAATCTCACGCCCTGACTATTAGCTACAGTTGGAACGGAAGTTCTGGGGTGACAAATGTCATAAACTTCCCGACATGTGAAGAATGTCGTGCAGGCCATTAGTCATATTATTATGGTTATAATGACTCTCACAATAAGCATTAACTAAATATTTACGTAATGGTATATTTTCAAATGGTCTTAAAGGGGTATTAACGCTGTGATTACTTAGTATATACATCAGGTTTATATAAGATTAATGTCCGACAAACAGTGGAATGTGTGATTTTTGCCTTATTTCCTGTTCCTTGTTTGGTTGTGGGCTTAGGACAGAATCACCCATTCGACTGTCTGTTTGATCTTAATTTTATATAACTTGTATGTACTAAATGATCATAGGAGGGTAGTAGCATCACATCTAGTTTACAGCGCAAACACGTCTTCAACTAGTTTTACTTATGAATGAAACTACGTATCATTAAATTAAGTATGGCAATTATACTTGTACTTTTCGCTCTTGGAACGTTTAAGACTACAATTCGGTTTTATGGAAAATATAGGATTTTCTAGGGTAAACATCATTATTTTACAAGCAAAAAATTTACAATTCAACTTTTTGGAAACAGATACGATTACATACCGAAAACAATACTTTACAGTAGAGCGAGTGGAACTAGGAACATATTTACAAAAGGTTCAACACTTATTTACAAAATAGTATAACATAAATGACCCTTAATTGTTAATTCTATGGTTCCTTAGCTTATACATCAGAGTTATATATAAATAATATCTAATAGGAAGTGGAATGTGTGATTTCCGCCTTACTTCATGTTCCTTGTTTGGTTGTGGGCTTAGGGAAGATCCACACATTCAACTGTCTGTTCGATGTTAGTTTATATATAGCTAGTATAAACTAAGTGATCATAGAAGGAACTAGTATGGTCACATATCTTATTAAGAAAATAGAGGATTTTCTGAAGGAACACACTCACCACATTTAAAAGGATCATTATTGTTAACTCTATGATT